CTGCCCCACATACACACACTGCCCCCACACACATACACTGTCCCCCACACACATACACTGTCCCCCATACACACACTGCCCCTATACAGGGAGTGCAGAATTATTAGGCAAGTTGTATTTTTGAGGATTAATTTTATTATTGAACAACAACCATGTTCTCAATGAACCCAAAAAACTCATTAATATCAAAGCTGAATATTTTTGGAAGTAGTTTTTAGTTTGTTTTTAGTTATAGCTATGTTAGGGGGATATCTGTGTGTGCAGGTGACTATTACTGTGCATAATTATTAGGCAACTTAACAAAAAACAAATATATACCCATTTCAATTATTTATTATTACCAGTGAAACCAATATAACATCTCAACATTCACAAATATACATTTCTGACATTCAAAAACAAAACAAAACAAATCAGTAACTAAAATTATAGATCAGGGTGGTGCAGTAGACATTGCTTACCTAGATTTCAGCGTGAGCTTTTGACACTGTTGCGCAGAAGGCTTATCAATAAACTGCAATCTTTTAAGTTTTGGATTCAAATATTTTTGAATGGGTAAGGCAGTGGCTGAGTGACAGGCAACAGAGGGTTGTAGTTAATGGAATATATTCGAAGCTTGGACTTGTCACCAGTGGGGTACCTCAGGGATCTGTACTTGGACCCATTCTCTTTAATATTTTATTAGTGATATTGCAGAAGGTCTTGATGGTAAGGTATGTCTTTTTGCTGATGATACTAAGATATGTAACGGGGTTGATGTTCCAGGAGGGATAAGCCAAATGGCAAATGATTTAGGTAAACTAGAAAAATGGTCAGAATTGTGGCAACTGACATTTAATGTGGATAAGTGCAAGATAATGCATCTTGGACGTAAAAACCCAAGGGCAGAGTCAGGGGTCAAGTCCTGGGGAAAAAAGTGTGGGAACTCTCCCCCAAAAAAACCAAAACACTTGTATGTATGTGTATATATATGTATGTATGTATGTATGTATGTGTATACACATATATATATATATATACACACACACGCGTGCACACACACATACACTCACACAGTGGTGTATTTTAATTTTATGCTGCCCTAGACATGACTATAGAGCACCCCCCTAATCTAAATGTACCACTCCTTCATGTCAAGGGTGCACCGCTTCCTGATTAAGAACCCACCCCTTCCTCTTTAGACTCCACCTTTTCCTGCTCCTTTTAAAGAAATACTATAGTGCCAGGAAAACAAAGTTGTTTTCCTGGCAGTATAATTCCGTATAGTGCCCCCCTCCTCTCATGTCCTCCCCTCCCCCACTCGACACTGAAGGGGTTAAAATCCTAGGGGTATTTAGCAGATGCTGGATGTCCTCATGCACAGGGTGAGGACGTCCAGCATCAGTTAGGTGACTTTGGTCACCTAACCACCCGAAAGTCCCTCTAGTGGCTGTCTGATAGACAGCCACTAGACTTGGAGTTACCCCTCAGGTAATTATTGCAGTTTCTGAGAAGGTTTAAGGGGACTGGGACACTGCACCCAGACCACTTCAAGGAGCTGAAGTAGTCTGGTTGCCTATAGTGTCCCTTTAAGCACACTCTCTGACAGACACCAACACACACTGTAAGTAACACACACATTCAATGACAAACACACAGACGTCACTGATTTGACACACACATTCCCTGACACACACTCATTCATTGACAGAGAGACACACACTAATAGTCACACACACACTAAATGACAGACTTTCACTTATTTGACAGAAACTTACAATATCGTATGCACATACATGCAATTGCAAACATACACATGCATACACTAACAGAAGCACATACACTCACATACACACGTACAAACGCTAACAGACATAAATACACTCCTACACACACTGAGACAAACAGACATCCACAGACAGACATCCACACATCCACACATCCAGACATCCACAGACAGATATCCACACATCCAGAAACAGACATCCACATCCACACATCCACAAACAGACATCCACACATCCACAAACAGACATCCACAAACAGACATCCACACATCCACAAACAGACATCCACACATCCACAAAAAGACATCCACACATCCACAAACAGACATCCACATCCACAAACAGACATCCACATCCACACATCCACAAATAGACATCCACAAACAGACATCCACACAAACAGACATCCACACAAACAGACATCCACACAAACAGACATCCACACATCCACAAACAGACATCCACACATCCACAAACAGACATCCACATCCACACATCCACAAACCCACAAACAGACATCCACACATCCACAAACAGACATCCACAAACAGACATCCACACATCCACAGACATCCACAAACCCACAAACAGACATCCACACATCCACAAACCCACAAACAGACATCCACACATCCACAAACAGACATCCACAAACAGACATCCACAAACAGACATCCACAGATCCACAAACAGACATCCACAGACAGACATCCACACATCCACAAACAGACATCCACAAACAGACATCCACAAACAGACATCCACAAACAGACATCCACACATCCACAAACAGACATCCACATATCCACAAACAGACATCCACATCCACACATCCACAAACAGACATCCACACATCCACAAACAGACATCCACACATACACAAACAGACATCCACAAACAGACATCCACAAACAGACATCCACACATACACAGACATCCACAAACAGACATCCACAAACAGACATCCACACATCCACAAACAGACATCCACAAACAGACATCCACACATCCACAAACAGACATCCACAAACAGACATCCACAAACAGACATCCACAAACAGACATCCACAAACAGACATCCACACATCCACAAACAGACATCCACAGACATCCACAAACAGACATCCACAAACAGACACACAGACATCCACAAACAGACATCCACAAACAGACATCCACACATCCACAAACAGACATCCACAAACAGACATCCACACATCCACAAACAGACATCCACTAACAGACATCCACACATCCACTAACGGACATCCACAAACAGACATCCACACATCCACAAACAGACATCCACAGACAGACATCCACACATCCACAGACATCCACACATCCACAAACAGACATCCACACACAGACATCCACACACAGACATCCACAAACAGACATCCACACATCCACAAACAGACATCCACAAACAGACATCCACAGACATCCACACATCCACAAACAGACATCCACAAACAGACATCCACAAACAGACATACATTAATAATATTATCAACAAATTAACATATCCCATTCCAACCCACCCAGCATCCCTACCTTTCCCTGGGGTCCAGTGGGGCTGCAGTGAGGACGGCTCTCTCCCTGTCACACGCGGAGAGGGAGCTGTGTGCTCTCTGCTCCCTCTCGTCGCGCGGGATGTCTGCTGATACTGGGAGCCGGAATATGACGTCATCAACCCGGCTCCCAGCATCAGCAGACATCCCGCGCGGCGAGAGGGAGCAGAGAGCACACAGCTCCCTCTCCGCGTGTGACAGGGAGAGAGCCGTTCGCCAGGTGGCCCCCCATGACAGGGGGAACACAGGGCATTTGGGGGCGGCATTTTTTGCCGCCCCCTGAGTGCCTGCAGGGGGAACGGCGTTCCTGCTGTGAAAAAAGTGCAGGAACGCCGTTCCCATGCGTTCCTGCAGGACTCGAGCCCTGTTAGTTGTTCATATTTCCTATGTAATTTTCATTTTCATTTTCATTTCCTATGTATAAAAAGCTGACAAGCCATTTAAAACTGGCCAGGAGCATGGTTAGCATGGTCAAATAAGTCAGATAACTAGAAATGTTCACCATGGGGCCTAGGTAGACCATGAGGACTTGGTAGAGGAAATTGGTCATTCAGTAGTAAAGTTCAAAATAAAGCTATTGAGAATGGCAGGAAGAACATAAGTTTGCTGCCAAGTTGTTAGGGTCTTCATAAGTTCAGTTCAAGTCAGGTAAACTGGCCTAACCGAAAATGCAACATGAGTGTTTGCTCAGTACTATGGGTGGCCAAGAATGACCAAGAGTGACAAAGAATTCTGAATCTCAAAATACTTCTCTGGACAGTTTCTTGCTGGAAAAAAATGGACTTCAGGGGACCGAAAATCCTATCAAGCTTGATTGCATTTAAGGTTTCCAAACTAATGGACCAATGTTCCTCATGCATTTTCTTGTATACTAAGAACAGTGATGTGCTAAGCAGATGGAGTTAGAAGATAGGGTAAATGTGACCACAGCAGGTTACCCTCAAAATGTCCCATGTATGAGATTACTTTGAGATGCCTTGAATTTCAATTACTCAACTGAGTAGCAAAATATTTAGAGAAGATTGAAGAATGCCACCAACCTCAAGAAAGCCTACTGCAATGTTTTTAGGATAAATTGCTGGACTTTACTTTTCTTCTCCAAAGTCTTCGTTTTGTAGCCAAAATATATGTATAGATTTTTAAATAAAAAAATTACACAATGTTTGTGTTAGATAAGAACCGGTACAATTTTACTAAAGCCTCTGCTTCCAACAGTTCAGTAGCATATGTCACAACTTTCTCATAACCTGGGCTAGCACAGGGAAGGAATAAGGTTTTTCTTACTTCAAGGCTCTGGGGCTTATTCCAGATCACATTTCTTATGTGTTCCGGTTCTAGTTTACGTGCTACTCCCCGACCAGAGGCACAGCTCCAGGAAATCATTTCTTTAAAGGGAAAATGGAACAAGAAAGGATATTGTTACATTCACTTTGTGGTGAAGGAGTAGCATTCTATCCCGCACATTATTAAATAGGAACTGTCACCTTTGATATAGGAATTTATCTGAATACAGTACATAAAAGTTACTCTTACTATTGTTATTCATGTTTTACTTACATTACGTTCAATCTTGTTGTTGTTTTTTTCTAAAAGTTCCTTGTTCCCTTACCACAGTAAACACTACCAAAGAACATACAGGGGTGACGAGTCCAATATAGATATGTATGAAGTACACTTTGGGTACCAGTTGATAGCACCATGCGATGCTACAGTGGAGCTCAAACATCTGCTGAGAAATGGAATTAAAATGTATGCTTGGTATGCCCCCAAAGTGCGCAAGTTTATCAAGCCCCCATTATCTGAAGAACATCAAAATGGCCAGCAATGTTTGCTGCTGCCAAAAGGTTTGAGGCTATTTGGAGCATTCAACTCATCTGATTATTTGTAATTGTCCTATTTATAGTTAAATCCCCTCTCATAATATTGTAAAGCGCTACGGAATCTGTTGGCGCTATATAAATGGCAATAATAATAATAATAATAATCTGATACCTCCGTGCTCTAAGCCTTCTTTTATTGCATACAAACACTTGGATGGACAGGGAGTCCTTAATATGACATCACACACCAAAGGGATGGAGTTTGGTACAAGAAATACCTCAGTGTTTTTTTTGTTTTTTACAAACTGATATAAAACAGACAAAGAGGGAGGGACAGTACCCATAATGTCTTAGTGCCAGTGCCATTAACACTACAATAAGCGGTTATTGAGCATGGAGTGTCCCTTAAATCTCCAACAAGCTTACAAATAAATTAAAGTATTCAAAATATCATTATTACTATTATACTAGAGCAGAAATTGATACAATCTAGATTCCCATCTGTTGTAGATGTAGAAACAATTGAGAGTCTACCTTTAGATCACGCCTTTACTAGAGAATCATGGGAAAGTCTTGCATTAAAAATACCTTTTACTTTGTTTATTAAACTTGCGGTGAGATAACAAAGTGAAAAAAACTGATTTAATTTGCATAGTTTAGTAAGATGTACATATGTTTATCTTCTAATGTAATTAGAAGTCCATAGAAGTATCTGTAACTCTGGTCCCCTCCACATCATCGTTGCTTCATTCTGAATGATCGAATTAACTCTCTAACTCCAGGAATACAATTGCTGCTCACTTCAGCCCCCTCGGGCAGCGAAGAGAGTTTTATGTTTAATATTATTTTTTCAAGGCATTTTTGTCCTGCAGCTCTGAAGAACATAATAATAAATCAAACCTAGAAGTCTTCACACACATATTATTCCTTCAGGATGGGGAGTGACTAACCCTTGAAGTCCAAACAGCGGGATGAGTAGAATATCCCGGGTCAAGGGTGAGGTGCTTACAGAGCAAAAGTTTGTTTTGTATCTACCTTCAGTCTATTTCTCGCCCCTCAGGGGATAGTGCTTTGGTCTCTTGCCCTGACATTCATTTTTCAGAGTTTGCAACAGCGAAGTTGGGAAAGAATGAAATAAAAGAGTTACAACAAGAAAACATATTTTTTTTATTTTTGTACGAGTACTACCTAAGGTAAAATGTATAAATCAGAGTTTTGCAATCGGTGGCCTACTTTTCAAGGATTGAAGGGGTACTTTCAAGTTCTTGGAAATTACACCATTGAAAGAAACATTGGCAAACATATAACTTGTGATAATCGTTTGTTCATGTGACGCTCCATTTACTTTTAAATGTATATTAAAGGGATAGTCTAAGCACCATAACCACTTTACTTTACTATGCACGCTTCTTAATATGGAAGCTGCTCTCTCTTCTCTCTGCGTATGTGTGGACTGCGACTCTGCCAATAGGAAAACACAACTCAGTTCACTAAACGGTGGACCAGGCTGTGTATAAACTGATAGAGGTGGTGGTATAACTTCTATCAGAGTCACTGTTCCAATCATCCTACTGTTCCAGTAAGCAGTTCCAATCATCCTACTTGATAAACTAATAAAATCAGTTCCCATGTACCAGAATGAAATTCTCCTGATTGGAGCACCTTAACTAGTGGAACAGACCCACTCGAGAGGGTATGCTGGAATTCCTGGTAGATACCTTTTTTATGGCCGATATACCAATAAATAAAACATTGAAAAGGGACACTATAAGCACTATAACCATGTAATTTAATTGAATTGCTAATGGTTCCTGGAGTCCCCTGGCACTATCCCTCCATTCGCTGTTAAAATATTTTTGAGCAATTTCAGCAGTGAATGATATTTACCGTCAGTCCCACCTCAGTCACCCAGATATGATTTAACTGTACTGGGCACTCAGCAAGTGCCCCTCCGCGTGATCAACGTTGGAAGGTTATCACGTATGCTGAAGTCCAATACATGATCTCCCAAACTAGCATCCTGATAAAAAATTACATTTAAGTTAACTCTTTAGAAAAAAAATAAATAAATACAAAAAAACAATTAAAATTGGAGTATCAAGGGAATAGTAGTTTGAAGAGCACTTAGGGGTAAGGTATCGACCTAAAACTTAGTCCCAGAGGTTGGCAGCCATCGGCACTGCAAATGTTGTGAACGACATCTTTCCTGATGGCTTACCACCATTTTAGCTGTAAGAACATTATGGGAGATGTAGTACACTACATCTGGAGTGCCGAACGTTGCCTGTGTTTTATAAATATATACCAATAGCAAGTTTGGCACTCTTCCCAGTCACATAGAACTAAAAATAGACTCTGCCAGGGTACAAACCCGCGGTGTATATATAAAATGATCAGTAAAGGTGCACTCCTGGGCTTGAAAAAAATATAACTGGTTTATTGTGCAAAGAAAATGTTGATCGACGTTTTGACCTCTTTAGGTCTTTCTCAAATGATCTTGAGAAAGACCTGTAGAGGTCATAAAGTCGATCAACATTTTCTTTGCACAATAAACTAGTTATATTTTTTCAAGCCCAGGAGTGCACCTTTACTGATCATTTATATATATATATATATTATTAAAAAAAAATCACAAATCCTGCACCCCAAGCTTTCCATAGTTTGAGAACTATTAACAAACGTAACTCTTTTCCTGCCAAAGATTGATGGAGGTTGAATGGCTTGTTGAAAAACATTTGTTCTGGAAGACACAAAAAGAGAAGATTTATGTGTATCTCGTGTTTTTCACCATGACCTAATTTAAAATCGGAGAGTATTTGAGTGCAATGTTTTATGCTGACAGCCAGACATAGAAGAAAACATGGGCTTTTATCAACTCTCTTGACAAATGCACAACTATTTATCAGAGACTTTACAGAATGCTGAGTGCATAGAAAATGCAGCTTAGAGGTAAATCTCCAGGTGTAATTATTGAAGAACCTCATTAGTCAAACAATTAATTGTTCAGTTTTGTGTTCTTTGATAATCAGAAACTTGTCTAGAAATCGCGTAGTTTCAAGGAAAGGTCAAAGACGTGACTGTACTTTTTAAAGTCTGTTATAGAATCTGATAAATCAATTACATTCCTAAACTGAGATATAAAGCTTGGAATGCAATTAAAATAAAGTTATCACTAGGTGGGCCTCACAACAGATTATTCTGTTTTCTAAAAACAGGAAGAAATATTTTTTTCATGATACCAGTAGGTGCCATTTTCTGATTCGTGGTAGCTTAGTCCTCATCTTTGAAGGGCTCTTGCACTTTCTGGTAATTCTTTTTGCCCAAGGCAATTTCCTTACTACCCCTGTCAGAAGCAGAAAGGGGTAGATCTGTGGGGCTCTGTAATCCATAATCTTGTTAAGAACAATGATGATGTCATTGTGGTCCAAGTAACCTAGTCAAAAATTTTACTTGTTTTAGAAGCAATTGGTGCCCATATCTTTCGAAAATGTATTCTTGCGTACACAAAAGAAACCAATTTAAAAATAAGTGTTTTCAATCATTAGCAACAAAGAATAGGCTTTAATGTCAGCAAATTTCAGTAATTGCCTGAAAACCTGATTTGTCTTAGACTGAGAAACATATTTTAACAACCTGAAATAAAAGTAGATTAGAAATCCTACATTTTGCGATTTTATTAAAGGTCCCCTCGTCCCCTGATTTTTAATATTGTATTTACATATCCCAATATTTAACAAAAGTGTATTTGCGAAGTGTGAAAAATAATATTAAATGTTGAAACTCCCATCTCTTTATTCTACAACTGGAGGCCGCCATCTTGTTTCCTGTCAACAGTGTTTGTATTCGTCCTCTTAATTTGCAATGTTTGTCGTGAATTTGCCTTGTCTGAAGTGCATTTTAATATAATTTGCTAAATCTTTAGTATACCTTTAAGAAATAATTGAACATTTCATGAAAAACAATTAACCTCAAGTTAATGGTGATTTTCAATATTTTATTCAGTGATATAAATTTCATGTAAGGTAAGTTCCCTTTTAACACAAATTCTAAAGAACGTACTTTGATTTTTAACAATAATATGTCTAAAATTTCTTTATAGAACATAGTGTCAGACAGGCTTTGTGTTATTGTTAGCATTTATCAATATAGCACTTACAATATCTACATTGTTAAATACATTAAGCTCAACAACAAGAGGAACAATGTGTAGGGATGGGAGAATGGAGGGTAGCCAAACTTCTTTTGTCAGAAGTAAAATAAAGTCACGGATCATATGAGGTGGCGCTCTCGACTTTGATGTCATATTAGATGATTGAAGAACAACACTTGTCCTTTAAGGTGAAGATTTTGGGTGGTAAATAAAGAGTAGAGTAAGAGTACGGGTGTACATAGCAGACATTTTAAAGTGTTGATGCTTGGATAGACATAGCTGGTGTATACCACCTATGGTCATTCAAACTGGATAATTTTTGAGTTAAAGAAATTAGCCTAGAATACCTTCAGTTATGTCTGCTAATCTGCACTTCACATTTATTGATCAATTGATTTAACATGTTCCTAAAACACGGTACAGCCCAACATTGGTGTTTGCACACTAACATAGTGTAAGTAGTTAAGGCCTCGATTTAATATTGCTGGGTAAGCTTATAAATGATTTTATATTTATAAATAAACTTTTGAAATTATTTAATATGAAAAAATATTTCAATTTAGTAATGTATTGACAGTTTTTTTTTTATATATTGATAATTGTTTTATATATATATATATCAATATATAAAAGAAAAAATGTCAAAATATTACTAAATTATATAATATACTTTTCATATTTTTAAAAACATATTTTAAAAGTTTATCCAAAAAATATTAAATCATTTGGAAAGTTTATCCAAGACCTAACTTATCAAAGTTGACATCTTTGTTCTCTGCCGAGATTATTGGTGTCTGGGACAATAAAACGAATATATATTATTATCATTATTATAATCACAAACTCATATATCATCCACAATAATCCCATTTAT